TATAGCGTTCAATAACCAGCAACCCAACGACAAGAGACTGTGGATAATTTCTCTTCACTTTTCCTAGATAAATCAGTGGAGTCTTCTTGACAGTTAAAAGAAATATTCTCTAAACTCAGTCTCTAAGACCATGACCTGCTCATTTTTATTTCTGTTTCACGGCAGAACAATTATTCACAGGTGGGATCATTTGAGGAAGGTGGTGGTACAAGAGAGTCTTGCTGGTAAGCCTTGAAGAACTGACATGCCATTTCTAGACAGAAAAGCAATTTTTATCCCTGATATTTAGTAACCACTAAACCAGTGCCTAGAGCTTATGCCTAGTCCTCCTCCTTTTTGATGTTAAAGTTAGTGCAGTTTCTAAGAGAGCTCAAAAAGGTCACTTAGCTTATTCACTCCTTCTTAGCCTTTTCGCTGTTTTAACAAGGAAACACACTGATCTTCTACCTGTGTGTGCTGCCAGAACCCTTCTGAGCACTCAAGTCACACCAGTGGCGAGGCAGCTGGAGTGCTACAGTTAGCTGTCCTCTGCTTTCCTGCCAGGGATGTTTGGCTATGAGTACTTTCTGGTACTTTGCAGTAAATAGAAACTAATCTTTAGTTCATCCCAGGGCTGAGTCCCTACAAGGCTCCCAGGCACTTCTTAAATAATCACAACGGGGCATAAATTGGGACTTCAAGAGATACATGTGTTCTTTGCACAGAGATGAATTTCCAGTAATCCAAAAGGGGATGGGGAAACTGCTAGGAGACACAGCAGGCATCACAATTGTTGGCTAGGAAGATACGCCAGACAACAAAAGTCTAATTGCCAGAAACCGTTTATACTCCAGCAGTTCACAGCTGAGGACTTGATCCTGACCTTTGATACACAAAACAGATTTGCTTTGCAGCTGGAAACTCAGTTGCAGCATTTGAGCTTGGAGGGCAGGACAGTGCCCAGAGCCGACAAAGGTGGGAGCTGAGTTGTCATATCTGAAGTAAGGCAGCAATCTCCTGACCAAAATCACTTCCACATTAATAATGCTTAATGGAATTAGAAGGCCAGTAATTTGGGAAAAAAAAAAAAAAAAACACAACAAAACAAAACAAAAAACCCCAACAAATTAACAACCAACCAACAAAAAAAAAAAACAAAAAACCCCAAAAAGAACCCAAACCCCAAACCCCCAAACCAAAACAAGAACATACTTCTCCAAGCTCTTCCTGCTTGACTCTGGTTTAGGGTGTTATTTCACTCTACTTTTTAATCTCATTTTATTGAAGGCAATCTTAGCCCCAAGAGCAAAACAAGTAAAATAAAAGCAATAAAAGCCTGGAAGGAATCTGTATTTTTTCTTTGAAATAGAGCCCCATGTCAGACGGCTTTCCACATACCTTGTTTAGTGTAGGTTAGATTATGGCATCCCATCAGGCCTATTCAAACCAGGTTGCAGAAGTATTGTGGCTGGGATCCAACGCTGCCTTCCTGCCTGCAGTATCTGTTGGTGGTGATTTTATCTCATTTTCTCTCTTTCCACCTCTCATGCAGCTGCCTGCCTGTCTTGATAGGACCAAAGTGTAGCTCATGGAATCTATATGATAATCACAAAAATAGTTATTTCTGCTGAAAAATGGATTTAATTCTCCCTCTAAACCTTTGTGGATTGCCAACTGGGGGTGTGAAACCAGCTGGCAAAAGATGCATTCATTTCAATTTCATGACTTTCATATACTGCAGCTTCCTGACTTTAAATGGTTCCTCCCCTCTCTAATGAGAGCACCAAGGCCTTGATTAACAGCCCTCACTTTAAACAAAGTTTTGAAGAAGCTTCTTTTCATCGTAACTTCTCTGGGCATGTCTGACAGCCTGCTTAATCCAGGGCAGCCGAATGCCTCTTCTTTCACAGCATGAACATTTGTCAGAGATACTAGGAGTCAGGCTTGGTAAAGATTTGTATCTCTGTGTACTCTGCAAGTAACTTGCACAACAGCGTGGGAAGGAAGCTTGAAAGTAGTGCTGGTAAAACAGTGAAAAAGTATTTCATCAATATTTTCAAAATGTAAAGGTCTGGAATGGACTCTGGTTTACTTTTTTAACTCTTTCAGCCTTTTTCTGATAAAATACATTTTTATTTTACCAGAAATCTTGTCTTTAGTACATTGTTTTCTAACTTTTAGTCTAAATAGTATTTTAGAGAGATGACTAGGTATCTAGATGGAAAGCCTGATATATTTTTTGACAGTTAATCACAGAGAAGGGAAAGGCTATCTCTTGAGAAGAGTCCTCCAAGCCCATCTGGGTCAGAGCCTGCAAATGATCGAATAGTGAATTAGGATGTAAATACTCAAATCAAAGGTATCATCCATGGAAAAGTACTATTTACTTTCAGATTCTGGCTTTTCAGATTCTTCCAGGTGCCCACTTAGTAAGTGGATGTCTAATAGACATTAGATGAGGGCCTCAATCGTAACCAAGTCTTTGAATCTGGACTTACAGAGGGTTTAAACAGGTTTTACGAGGAAGCTTTCTTGTAAAGGACTGAAGTATACATCCTCCCTGGTCATAAGGCAAGATGTTCCCCCTCTGTGACCTTGCCTCCTTTTCACTGATCTCCCCTGGGAGATGGGAGAGCAGCAAGACCCTTTCAGTTCAAGCCTGCTGACAGTATTTGAAGTTATGTCTAAAGTGCAGTCATATGGTGGCTGCTGTTTCATACCCAAACTAGACTTAAAAGCTATCTGTGAATCAACAGTAGTCATGTCAACAAAGAGCTCAGCAGAACTACACAAAAAGGTATGGCTAACTGACATGTGCTGAGTACAGCGTTGCCATAACTTGACTGCTACCAGCATTTCAATTAATTCAAACCTTCCTGGATGTTTGTGTACCACAGTGCTGCCACTGTGGTTGCCACATGAAGGAAAACTAGCACACTGCTACTAACTGGACAACCCCAGAGGGAATGACTGAGCATAACTCTGGGTTAGACCAGAGGTTTTGTTTAACATTTAAATGAAGTTTTGCTTTGGCTATGCTTATGTATAGGTTTGCTCTTGGCAATCAGAAAATTTGATTTACATTCAGCCAAAGCATGGATGGGGCTTGGAGTGGGGGGTGGAGTGAAAATGGAGAGCAGGGGAGAAAAAGCAGCCCTAAACAAAAGTTCTTCTGAAGTCAATAGCATCACCAGACTAGCAAACACACAAAAAACAGTTAAAAATTTCAGGCACAGAAATCAGAAGATGCAGTTTCTTCCAGGGAAGGAATATGCTGCATCTCATTTCTGCTGCGCCTGCTGATACCATCTACAGAAAATCCATCACCAGTTGAAAGAAAGATGCATTCATTGTCAATGCATTCCACCACTTTGGTGTCCCAGCTTTCATGAGTTTATTAGATGCACAGTCATGGACTTTTCTATGAAACAGAAAGACAATACATGTTTCTTTATTATTACCTTACAGAACAGCTAGAAATTCTGTTCCTTTATATAATAATTTCCCTATTTTTAGTGCCTCATCTATCAACAACTACTATAAATTTACCTTAAAGCAAACTGTAGCATATATCTCTCTTTTCCCCCATATGTATATAGATACACACACAATACGTACATATATACATCTATATACATCTATATACATATAAACACAAAAAGCCCAGCAGTGAATAGGTGAATTTACTGAAATAAGAGAAAATAGCATATTCAGAATCAGAAGAAAATAATACTTGATTATGAAGTATTGCTGCTTATATACCAGACATCTTTCACATTTTCTTCTTCTGTCATAGCTCTGTTTCTATGATTATGATGTTTTCTTCTTGCATACCTATCCTTCAGGAAGATAGCCTTTTGGAATATGCCACTGAACTGGAATACAGAAAATAATCTGACTAGTTTGTATAGAGGGAAAAAGTAACTTTGGAATCAAGTGAATAGAAAGAAAGGCTAAAATAAAGCTTATATTACAGCACAGTCAGTGAAGAGTGGTAATAGCTGTGAAGTCGTTTGTCTTTGAACAGGAGCTGAAAAGCATGAATGGGTTCAAGCTAACAGTGCCAGAATGGCAACTCTGTGAAGTCGTTGTACACTTCCCATTCTTATCATGTAATTCCTCCCTCCATATGTATTTTCTTGTAATAGCAGTATGGATGCAAATTTCACTCAGGGGAGGGGTAGGACTGGGAGAGGCAGAGCATGCTTGAAACCTGATTTAACAGGACTCCATCAGAGTTGGTGTCAACCCTTCCATCCATAGGACTTGAAAAAATGATAGGTCTCTGATCATCTTCAATAGATTCTTCTCTCTTGATTTTAATTTAGGAATGTCTACAAGCATCATAACAATACATTCTCATTTTCACCTAGTCAGTGCCAAGCACAATGAATAGAAAATAAACAAAATCACCGGCAAGTAATTGCTGTACCTCACAAACAGAGCACAGAATTGTTAGTCACAATTAAAGATAACAAAAGCAAGACTCTTCATCTAGAGAACCTGTGAAATTGCTGCTTGTGAAGCATCATTCAATCCTTGTCCTCAGCTAAATATGATGGGAAATGAAGCTGCTCCACCTCTTCACTGAATAAAGAGCTTTCAGCCTTTAATACAACACACAACCAGAGTCACAGCTCCACTGATGGATTTTGCTACTGGGAGGGATGGTCAGTATCATGTCAGTATCAGTACTAGGGATTTTGTATTATAGTATGCCATTGGTGCTCTGTTAGTGGAAATATAGTGTCAAGCTCCAGACTCAAGGCTGTACATACTGTTTCTCTTATCACTTCATTATGTACAAGAGACAACTGTTATAAAAACCAATAAAGACGTACATATCCCAACCCAGAAGACAAGACAGTCATACAAGTCCCACGTGTAATTCAGATTGAAACATCAGCCAATATGGCAGGCATCCCAGGATCCTAACTTATAAAACAAGTACTTCACAAAACAAGACAGAAAACTAAAAAAGAGATGAAAAGGAAATTAAATACTACCCTGAGATGAAAAGGAAATTAAATACTACCCTGACATCTTGGAAGAAGGCAGCACCTCTCCAGGACTTCTTCCTGAATTCAGCAGGGCTCCTTGCCTTGGTTGGATAGTAAATGCAGTTTCATAAGTCCATGCGTGCTTGTCTGTAACACAACACAGTTTTTTCCATAACCAAAATACATTTTTACTTTCCCTGACTAGTGAGGGGACAGCTCACACTGATGTTACTCACTCTTTGCCTCACAAGAAGGTTTTAATATAACAGTGGAGGGAAAGTATAGCTGGTGGGAAAGGAGGTAGAAGGGGAAAAGAGGGAAGTAAGTCTGAGCTTACATAGGTCCCTGAATGGCATTTTCTTCATGTGTTGGTGAAACTGGACCTGAAATCTGCTCTGCCTCCCAAAAAAAAAAATCAGTCTTTATAATGAGAAAATCTTGTTTTGGTCACTCTGTCTTAAGCAGAACATGATAAAAATGATACGACATAGGATCCTCCTCAGAAACATCGTTTTGTGTCAGAGGATCTCATAGTCTAAACATTTCCTATCAGACACTTTATTCTTAGAGGAGCCTGGCTTTCTGCAAAAGCCCTTTGTAGTCCAGCTGGATGTCATTACATAATTAAGCATATGAGCCAGGAGGTAGTCTTGAGCATGGCAATTTTACAATGTAGAGATCAAAATGTTATTCTTCCTTTCAAAAGGTCTAGTGCCATTGGTTGTAATACCTTTATGCAAGGGATCAAATACAGTATTGATTATTCCTTATTACCTTTAAAGAGGTCAGTCAGCTTCTGGAATTCAGACGACTTCTGCAGATCTGAGGGGATATAAGGCCTCAGGGCTTCATGACTCATCTTGACCTGAAACTTTTAAATATCACCTGCTGTCTGGATTGTTCCTGCTTGCTGCCTGAGATTTCAAAGTCTCTCTCCCCTTTTTTCTCCCCAAGGCATCAGTCTTACAGACACTGCCAGATGAAGAGAAGCAAAGAATGCAGAAGAAAGTGAAAGTGAGAAGACCAGGAGTTGGGAGCCCAGCTGGTATACAGCTGCTTTGCTAAGATGGAAGTGAAAATGAGGATCATTATTCTGGTTCTCCATGCATCCTACTGTGTTTAGTTATTGCATCACATAGAAGATGCAATGGACATATCCTGTGACTAGCTACATTGTGCTCAACATGGGTTAATTGACTATTCGATATTCTAACACAGGGAGTTTTTCAATCTTTCTGTGCCGATTTGATCTTCAGCCATGTTTAAATGAAGGAATCTTTAGATGAGACTGGGGATGTCATTATGTGAAGACCCTGACAAAATTTAATATGGTATCTTTATCAAGTTAAGAAAAAAAAAAAATGTCATATTCATCTAGACACTGTCTACAAAGTTTCCATTTTCAACAGCATAGCCTGTATGTTGTAGAATAAACCTCCAAGAATGCTTTTTTGGCAGATGGTTAAATATTTAAGTAGTTGGCCACAGATTTTTTAAAATTGAGATAATTAGAAGACTTGAAGCAGTTAATATTTATTAGTCATGAAGAGTTTGACAGATTGGATGTTTTCCTACCCACACATTTTTTCTTTAGCATAAAAAAAAATATACATATAGACATTGTATATGAAACAAGCACTTATATGGAGGCAGAAGTAGAAGGCATGGACTTCCCATGTTTCTCATTATGACACACGGAGACTAGTGGCTGCCATTTAATCCAAGAACATGACAGAAAACAACACGGAAATAAAAAGGTCTGTGTGGGAATATGTCCAAGTCTGAAACCTAAGGACTGATTCTTTTGCACCACTTCAGCTTTCGTTATAAATTATAGTGTCTCTAGCAAGGTTGCAGGGCTACTCCAGTCACCAGGGATTATGAGACAACCTATTTTCTATTCGATTTGCCCATTCTCTTGATCTTCTTTGCAGGAGAGTAGATGCATGGAGCAAAGGCAGACCAGCTCTGTGGCACTCCAGAACTGCATAGAAGACTACTTAAGTAGTGACTTAAACCAGCAGACTGGAGGCCAAGAACTGACAGATTACTAAGGCTTCTCCAAGGACCAGTTACACCTGATATGTCCTCTTTTATGTGTCCAGAAATCTGACTGGAAAGAAGCAGTGAGACATTTGCCTGGGCTTGCTACCTGCCTCACAGACAGGCCCGAGCAAAAGCAGTGACATGCTTCTCACTAGGCTGCAGATCCAGCTATGCTGAACGCACCAAGGAACACATCTCAGCACTCCCCATTCCAAGTCAGGCCAATGCAACTGCACTAAGCCAACAGCAAACCCACATGGTCAGCAGGCTGGATGACATTAGGATGGACGTATGGGCACCTTCACAGCACATACATGGTAGGTCTACTGTGTTGCCCATCTGTTAAGAGTGTCAATACTTGCAAGTGTTTGACCACTATCTGTGTGTGGACAAAGCCTTGTGCAAGGGACATGCACATTGCTAATGTATACTAGAGCAGCTGCTTGAAACTGCTGCCTTCTTTTGTAAGATTGATGCTGACTTTGCCAGTGATTCAGGAAACACATGAAAGTAGAACTAGTGTTATACTACGTAACTGACTGGCTAGAAAGAGATGCATCTCTATTATATCTACATCTCTTTTCTTAATGGCACTACTGAATGGTCAGTACATGCCCCAGTATAAAAATGTCCTAGGTTCCTTTACATTCAAAGGCAAATAAAAAGTAAAATAAACCCAAATAAGCCATCTTAGCAATGACATTTGCATGTATCCACATGCAGCATTAGAAAGAATGGGTGCATAGGATTAACTGTGGCAGGCAGGGGATGGGTGGAAAGGATTTTCATCGTGTTAACCCAACAAGGACAAGGGCAGACTAATACAGAATGTACCTGCTATAACCATTACCTGGCAGAAACCAGTAGGGCAGGACCAACTGCCTTGGCAGGCTGAACACAGTCCTGATCAGGAGTCACCCCCACACTGCCCTCAAGGGAACCCAGGAGACAGATTGGAAAGCAGCCTTGGATACTGACCTCTGCCAACGCTGGCTTGCTCTCTAAGGGGATGGTACCTAGAGCAGAGTGATCCCCCGGCTACAACCTCTCATCACAGATGAAACCACTGAGGGGATTTTTCTTTATCCTAAGCTACCTTTAAGGTCCATCCCTATTGTATACAAAAATGATAGGATATTCTTTCAGGTTTTTTCCCTGTATTAATATTATTTTTGAAATATTTTTCCCAGTGCCTTCTTTTCTGACAATAGCAATTCATTCTTTATTTATCTCATTGCTATAGTGAGACCCTGGAGGACTGGAAAACTGGTAGGGTTACTAGATACAATGAAAGCAAAACCTACTTTAAATGAACAAAGGCTCAGAAGTTTCAAGCTTTCCTAGGCTTTCTTTGATTGTTAAAAAGCTTCTTGGAGGAAGTCTGTTAAAGTTTCAGTATCTTTTCTCTTCAAGGAGGGATCCACAATCCTCAGATCTAAGAGCTCCAGCAAGACTTACTGCAAACCAGAGGACAAGACAAGAATAGAACCTAGCAATAAAAAAGAAGCCGCAACCTTTTAAAAAACAAATATCACAGGATTCCTTTACGCACCATAAAGAAATGAAATGGAAACAAACCCACATTGTTTCCTCTTCAAGTACCCAGAAGAAAAATCTGCACCTTAAAAAGGTTTGACCTCAATATAGGCCATAATGTAAAAATGTGAGGATCTTGGAAACTTGTGCTTTTCCTGGATTAAGGCCCAGATTTCGTAATATATCTTGCCTGTTACTATTTTTCTTGCTTCTTCCAAAGTAGAAAAGGCTCTTTTGAAGAAACGTGTTTTCTAGACACTTTGATACAAAAAAGTTGGGGTCTGTTGAAATGCTTCAAGTTTGATATATACACATATAGTTGTAACACTTCCTGGATATAAGCCAGCTTTGCCTGTCTGAATCCAGTTCTTACTACCAATATGTTGTGAGAGTGGTCTCTAGACAGAGTAGTCTCTACCCTGACATGTAGAGTAGATGCTAGGCCAGATGGATAATACTAAGACTTGCTGTGCCTTCATCTTCTTCACCACAGTTTTAATGAGCAGCACCTGAAAGAATGTATGACCATGTTCAGATGTTCTGCCTAAGTGAAAAAAGCACTGCTAGCATGCACTGGTAGAGCATCACATCTGCTTGGAAAAGGAACTTTGTTTTTGCTTACTTCACACAAAGAAATCTGTCAACAGTGTGATCCAGAGATTATCAATGGGATGACTACACTTTCAAAGGCCATTTTGCTGGGCTGGCCATAATGTGCTTTCACACACTGACCTGCTCTTCTGTTGTTGGTGCTCTCCAGGCTGAGCTGAAACTGTGATTACAAACCATTAAGCCTACTAAGCACATGGGTTGTTGTGTACATCTCTTTGCTTACTCTTTTTGCTATCTATAGAATATGCATGCAAATAGTTCACTATATGCTATTTCATATTATTTGACTGAGAGCATCAGATCATCTGAGTCTGATTACTATTTTCCTCCAGATATACCTCTAAATCCAGCTAGAAGAGGTCCAGCCATACAATAATTCATGTTTACTGGGCCCCCTAAAATTAAGTCCTGGTATATCTTATCAAACAATCAGCCATGAGAGAAAGTTTTCCCTACTGGAACATACATAAGTCACTAACTTTTCTGGGTATGAATTGAAAGCAATTCCTTCCCCACCTTTCAATGTTTGCTCAGGTGCAGTTTGGTTTCCACATGAACTGATTCTGGAGAACCTGCCTCAACCAGCAAGCTAACAGAAGTCACCAACCAACTTACGCTGACTACAAACAAAATCCTCATCCTGCAAGAGTGTTACATGAAAGTACATTACACAAAACCATCTTCATATTTGTGACTTATTGTAAGTCCTTAGGTAATTTGCCTTTAAGGATGACTACATTTTTAATCAATGAGCAAGGCATGCAGTATGTAAAGTTCACGCTAGCTTGAGCGGCAGCGGACTGTGTTTTTCCCCTGGTGAACAACCCCCTTGTAGCCCACGAGCTTTAGCTGGTGAGGTTATGCAGCCTGCCTATTAGGACTGCTCTCAGCCACATGCCTGACTGCACTCTCAAGTCTCCAGGCCAAGAGTAAACTTTAAAGGAACCCTGCCAACTAAATGTAAGCAGGAAACAAAGACTGTATTTTTAACCAAAGCAAATGTGATCAGAAACGTTCTTTTGATGCTGGTACCAATAATTATTTTTATTATGTTGCACTCAGTAAAGATGGATTTTAATCGAATTTGAATATTAAAATATGTCATGAAAATGAAGCTATCTGAAAATTAGAACTGATCAAATTGTCCACTGGCCATTGCAAGTAAATTAAATACATTTTACTAGTGGCAAAAAGTAAGCCTCATTTCAAAAGACAATAAAGATTTTCTGTGCCAAATGTTTTATAGTCTTGTTTTGTCGATCTTACAAGGGGAAGAAAAAAAAAACAAAACCAAAAAAACAAAACGCCTAAACGGTGTGGATTATCTACCAAAGGCAAAGACAAAACATTGCAGAAAGGTCATCCCAGATGAGTTCCAGTAAACATTTTTTATCATATCATAGTCCAAATAGACTACAGCAGGTTGCAGAAAACATATTTGAGGAATGACATAGAAATCTGTATAGAATGTACTTAGATTAATTCTTGTACTCTCTCCATTTTAAATATAATTGTTTCAGTCCTCAGTTCAGATAAAAGAATGTTCCAGCTTCACAGTTTAACTGTTCTGCTGGATTGGGACCCTACTTACAATGAATCTAACTGCACAGACAGATTCCAAAGAGGTTTTCTGGATTTAAAAATGTCAACAATTTCAATTCCTTTATCTTGTTTTTCTTTCCAGCATTAAAAGCAAGTGGCACGCAGACTATTAGGAAGCTTCTCTCCAGTGCTCAAAGGGCCTTGATTCTAAACTTGTCATGCCACGGGACAGCTAAAAGCTATGACAGGGAGATGGTCATATATTTATCAGAGCCTGCCCAGAGCTTCTAGTGCAGTCTGGGCAGTACACTACCAAGAAAAAAAATTAGGGTGTCCAAAACAGATGCTGGGTTACCTCCTACACTGCACCAACGGATTTCTTGGAAACAGATCTTGTGGGAATGCATTGGATTAATTTCTCTTGAGGCCTCTTAACACCCTCCTGAAAATCTCAGGTATGCACTGAACAAAAGGGAGAACAAAGCATTCTGCCCTAGAAAGCCCTTTGATCAGATGAACTTTTGCCTAAAAGAAAAGCTAGAATGTGACCATTCCAAAGAGATCCTGGTAATTTCTACCATGATTTCCATAACTCAATGCCTTATAATTACGCATTTCAAAGTCACCTGAAAGAACCAATAAAGTCAGATTGATTATTTATATACATCACTATGAGACATTATCACTCAATGCTGCCAAAGCCAATTCCATGCCAGCCCTTGATCTAAAATTAGACTAAGGACAAGGAAGTGTTCTTTCCTCTACAATGATCACCTAAACCCGAATGAGCCAAGAGAGGTTGAGAGTCTGAAAAGCTGTCAGTACCAATGGGTGATTACTGATGAAAAACCTCATGACAAACAAACAGGCCCCTCAGGACTTCCCTGAGAACATACACAAATTTCAGCACCCAGTAAGCAAGGTGCTCATAATACCCACTAGGGATGAGACTTGAAATTTACTCAGAGAAGGCAATTAGGCAGGAAAGAAAGACACCCAGTGCAGCAGCTTGAAACACTGAGAGTGGTTCTGGTTCCCCAGAAACCATAATCAGCCATAACACAAGTAGGAAATATTCTGCACTGGCCTCTTCTCTCTACAGTTGCTCCTCCGGGAAGAACAGAGATCTCACAGCCTCAGCCCCTGCAGTTCTTCCCAGCCTGAACAGTGCAGAAAGTTTCAGCCCTGTATCCAGGCGGAGGTAGCGCCAATTAACCGAGCTCATTTCTCAGAAACATGCATGCCATTTCACAGATACTGAGTGGAGGTCAAGGAAATGTCTTTTGGCTCTGACTTCCACAGACGGTTTTAGCATTTCTTCACACCCATGTGATTGCACTTGGATGTGAGCACTTGCTTTAAGTCGAGTCTGTTTGCTGCTCTGTGGAAGGCAATCCCTTCCATATAATCACAACCTAACATAAATGTAGGTGAGCACTAAGCTTCCACCACAGCTACTCCATGTGGGACCACCTGTGAGAGCTTACACTAGGCAAAGGATTGTCCTCATCCAACTTCACAACTGCTCAGCCTGCTACCACCTTAAATTACAAGATTTGTACATGTGTTATGTAGGGACATATGCCTCATGTTATTTTCTATGCAGGCTTCATGTACACACAGCATGCGTAGGCCTAGATCCATGAGTGTGTGTGCATGTGGATAGATAAACAGATAATCTGGAATCATTTCAAAGTAAGTGAAACATTTTTTCTCTTTCGTTCTTTCTTTCTAGTTGTTTCACAACAACTTGGCCTTGGGATCTTCCAGGGAGCTGCGTGTATGAGTGACATACTTGCCTGTTTTTACAGCTCCTGCCTTATGTCAATTCAAGCATCTTTCCTACACCTGGAGGAGTTCAGCAAACATCAGCTCACAGGTGTCACCCTCCATTGGCTGAAGGCTGGCTCCAGAGAGTCTAGCCAATATCTGCTTTGGCTATTAACAGCCTTGGAGAGGCCAAGCTCAGTGTGTGGGGAGAAACAGGGGGAGGAGAGGTGGAAGGAAAAGGAAGGGGGGGGGGTACATGTATGTGCATGTGCATTTGCTCCTGCTTTAACTTTCCATCCATTTAAGAGTTTAAATACTAGTCAAGCACTTAAAATAACATTAGGACACATTCCAGCTTTCTCTGCCAGTCAGAAGGAAAAAAATGTTTGAAACCCTGCATCTCAGCACCCCAAGGGCTTTATGATTTGTTAGGTTTAGTAGTTCAGAGGATTAAAAAGACAGAAATATTAGTAGAAAAAGAAGAGGAAAAAGTCAATGTATTCACTGAAGCACATCTAATGGGTTGCTGGGCCACAGAAGAAAAGGTTCTACTACCTGACTGAATCTTATTTGTATTTCTTGCTCCACAATAAAAAATAATTTTCTAGACATTCCCCCCCCCTTTTTTTTGCTATGCTAGTCACATTTCCTAAATCCTTTATCAACGGCTGCTCTGCATATGAATGGGCTGTAATTGAACTGTCACATTCATGAAGGTCAGTAACCTTTCATTAGGAAGAATGTGTCTTTCTTGATAAATTGGAAAGTCCCTGAGGATTTGAAAGCATTTTTTTTTTTATTTCACTCTTTCAAATATACCTTAAAAATCTAACATAGATCTTTCTCTTGCTCTCTTTTCATAGCACTCTGACAAACCTCTTGTCTTTGTCTTTGTCATAGGCAGTTCCATGCAAAATATTCAATCACAAGCTTTCGCTATGACCTTCTTAAAAGCAAAATGGGAATCATCAGCACCCCCCCCAACCTCTTGCTTTGAATTGCAGATAGCTGATACGTCTGCTTACAAAAGAAAAAAATAAATAAAATGAAAATTAATAAACAAAAGCAAAACCTTGAGATAAGAGTTTTTGTGGTGTTCTTGCTTCTTCAGACTAGCTTGGGTACCTACTGTAAAGTAACAAGTCAAACTGTGTTGGTGCTAGTATATCTTTTTGGTGTGGCTCTTTATCTGCAGACATGGACAGGCAAACACTTCACGTGGTGACAGGCTGTATGTGAAAAACAAATTGCAAGAAAGAACTGTGCTTAAAAAAATACTTAGTACTGCAGCATTTTTCAATCTCTGCCACAGGCTAGCTCCATACAACACAGTCTTCCCTATCTAAGGAAAATAAGCTCTTCAGAGGAGTGTTTTTGCACCTTGGTCTGCACCCTAACGCAGCAGGGTCTTTAAAATAATCTGTGGCTGCCAAATTCATAACCACTGCCAGAAGCTCAATTCCTCCTCCAGATTTTGATCAGAAAGCATGTAGCAGGATGCATGGAAATGTGTTGAGCTTCCCACCCTTACCAGTGCAAAGGTTCCTTCAGATGTCTTAAAAATACTACCAAGGCTGGTGATCACAGGGACAGAAACCATCTGTTCCTGTAAATCCCAAGACTAGGCCATGTTCTAGCTAGCTAAGCCTAGGGCCTGTCTTCAGTCAGTTGACTAGTTTAATGTCAAGGGGTCAGAAAAAAAGGCAGCTTGGTGACTGTCAGTCATTATCAGGATAGCAACACCAGCATGAAAAAGAGGAGTCTTGATAAATGGAAGAAATCGAAGAAAGCATCTGGCCTTTCATGTTAGCTGGTCAAATACTTCAAGAAGTAACATGAATTACATGAATTACATGAATTACTGTGAGAAGACCATCCTTTATAGTCAGCACCAACAAAATTGTGGTGATTGAAGATTCACCACTTTAAGATGGAATATAGAGGGAAAAGGAACAAGGTATAATAACAGAACAGCTGGAGTCCTTTAATGGTGCAGGCCACACTGGAAGCTTTTCAGCTGGAAAGACGAAAGAAGCAAAACATTTCTTTTGATTTTTGCAGGAATAGTTGAAGAATGAATGCTATCATTAATTAGGCTTAACTTATTTTTCTCAAGCCTTCTCTCAACTAGTGGACTTCCATTGAGTTTATGTGCCCAGCTTTGAATGGGAATCCTTTATGGCAGTGCCACAGTATGGCTCTTATATTAGTAAGGGAAGCCATAAAAAAGACTCTCCCAAAGCAAGAAAAGAAAGGTGCTACCTGACTTCCATATTAATGTCCTTCTGCAGCAGCAGGAGTGTGTCTGAATTTATATGGAGAGGCTTTTTATTTAAAACTGAGATGTCCTCTTACACTCCAATTATGCCGCTTCTCTGTAGACACAGAATTCACGGTTGAGGCTAGCCAGGTGTGTTCAGAAGCATAAATCAGCCTATGTCATAATCAGAATTCTCTCAGGCACTGTTGAGGTGTGGGTACCTGTGATAAGAGTGTAAATAAAAAGACCAGCCTTCATTAGTGGCTAAAGGTATGTGACAAACACTACCTAGGACCCTAAAACAACAGAAAGGCCTTCAGAGACCATCACTTTCAGTGCCAAGTTCAGGCTGCCCAATGGAAGAACTTGCTTCAATGGCATCTAAGGTCAATAAGCAAGGAGTGATTCAGGCTCCTACCTTTTGTGAGCAGCAGTCACAATGCATCAGGCTGGTAAGACTTTCTCTACCTTGCCTAACTTGCGTACCAAGATGACTTTTTTTCCACTGACTGCAAAGGGAGCCAAGGTCTAGCAACTTGGCATAACAGGCGGTCAGAATTGCTCACCAGTCTCTTGACCTGACATGCTGTCATTGCTCCCATGTTCCATAGCAGGCAATGGGAATACAGCTCACAGTTTCTAGCTCTCAGTGCGATCCTTGCACTCTGGAATAAATAGATAAATCGAGTGGTGCTTTCCAACCGTACATCCAGAGATGACTCTGTAGTGAGCCCTAATTTGAAGGCAAGAACCTGAGTGCTTCACTGGGGAGAGAGACTAGTAAACAAAGGAGAAAAGCTAAGTCATATTTTATTGTAAAGCACAGCTTGTGGACCCATTTTCCCCAGAGTTAATTTGGAGATCACTGCTGTTTTAATCTCCTGCAATGTATGTGGGTGTGCAAGTGATCAGGAGAATGGCTTCATGCAAGAAGCCCAAACATTCAGATTCTTTCAGTTGCCAAGAAAACAGAATTAACTGCCAGTCAAATCAATTCAAGTGGAAGTCCACAATCTTGGGAAAGAAATCTCATAAAATTAAATATATTTAAAAATATTTTCCAGCATGCCTGGCTCAAAATACTGCTGGGCCAACACTTCTTATGGTGCATTGTTATTTCTCAGATGAAAGGTTAATAGCCAAGTACATGTGCGGCAACTACTTACTAACCTCTGTTGAGATTCTATTCTGATTCCAGCTCCTGTGGCCCCTGTCCAGAATGTCCAAATTTCTTTCCTCAGTTGAAACTGAAGGTAGCTCCCTGTATCTCAGTATTCAGGTTCATACACAGCTAAAACTTTTTTGTATATCAAGGAATTCAGATTTCATGATTTCAGTTCAGGACTGTCTCAAATGAAGCTCTGATAACTGCATATGGAAGAAGCAACAGAGTGGCATATCACCTCATTATACATATATATCTCCAGACCAAAACAATGAGGCTTCTCAAGCACTCTTCACTGTGTGTAAAGTAAAAGGTGGTTAGAGAATTTGTTTAGAAGTGTGTTAAGCATTTTCCAGGCAGGCTGTGAATAAATCCATTTTACCACTTCATGGCTTTACAAAGAAGCCCATCCATTAACATGGGAACCCTCTTGTTTGCATTTCTTAACAGCTGACATTTGTACCTTTCCAAGGAAAGTGAAGGGCATCTCATTGCCTCATTGTTTAAATCAGTGTGGAAATAATGGGGATGATAGGGAATTGGAGCTAATTTCCTTTGTCTCCTATTCAGCAGATAATGGTGGTATGTGCGGGATGTTAAAGGCCAGGCAGAGGAGGTGACCTGAAGATGACTTCATTCTTAGGAGGTTTATCAAAGGCTCCTGTCAGTCAAATGCATGCTGAGAGATTGGGGACTGGCCATCTGGTCCAAAGTTAATCAAAGAGGAAAAAGAAAAGTGAGGAGGTGAAAAATCCCCCTGTCAGCTTTGTGCAAGGTGGAGGGAGATGCAGATAGAAGAGGAAACGCCTGTGCTTCAGCAGCCCAGCACCCAGGCTGGCTGGCCATGCTGCATGCAGAGGAGCAAACACAACAGAGTAGGGTGAAGGAGTGTGGGGGAAATAGGAAAGATAACATTGTTTTGGATTTTCACTGGGATGATCCCACACCAGTTTTAAATGGCAAGCCTGAAGGTCACTGCTGCTGTTAGCCATGCAGAGCAGAGGCACGATTGTTTCACTTGTCCTCAGAAAAAAGGGGGAGTGACTGACTCACAGTAGGGAAGCAGTGAAATATAAAACACAGGGTTTTCTGTCAGCGAGCCAGCCTTCTTTCCTTGGAGTTTTCTTTCTGGAAAGCAGGAAGAAGAGGTACAGCCATGCCAACTTCATGCCCTGCAGACATAAGGTTACCCAGCTCCTCACCTTCACCCCTTCCACCCACTGGGCTCAAAACCAGGTGTCCTGCAGGCACTAGCTGCTTCTGAGGGATTTGTGTAATTGGCCTATAATGGCTTTCCTGTCAATACTGACCCCTGTACAGTTTTACAATGTGTGGAAGCTAAGAGGGGTATAGAGAGGGGATTTAACAACAAAGGGTTTGCTTTACACTGAAAAGGTATCACATAATGCTTGTAAGTAAGACTGGAGACACCAGACAACTGAAATACTGTTTAAATGTGCATTACGTAAAAATACATGATTTCACCATAGATGCATTCTGAAGTAAAACACCCGAGTGTGACAGCCTGTTAGTCTCATTTCCGTAAGCAGCCCTGCTCAGCTGCTCAAATCAGCTAAATAGAGATGTATTTTTAAAACTACAAACGTCCAGATTGTGAATCCCTCCCTCACGCTGGCAAGTAGTCATGCTAATGAGTAGTCTCTTCGACTCCAGGGGAAAAATTATTGCCAACAAAGGTTTCACAATTCCAGCCCTAAACATTTCTAAAATGATTAATCAATGTGAGCTGACTTGAAAAGAAAGGGAAAAAAAAGAAGGAAAAAAGACAAGAAAAAAATATACAGAGAGGGGAAGGCTCTTCTGAAGGGCTGCAAATTAAGGTTGATCACTAAGAGATGTTTTTCTGGACATAGGCAGAGCAAGGGATGAATGTGCTGCCTCAAGTACACACACACACACCACCACCGCTGGACAGAAACATGCTAAAACCAGAGAGAATGAGAACAAAAGAGTTTGGCTGCTTCATATACCTGGGGGCAGGATTCACTTCTCCATTAAATTTCCATTCTCCTTCCTCCTCAGGTCGAGGTCCAGTCAGGCCCCCATGGAGAGGAACATATGGAAAACAGTGGCAGTGAGTTCTGCTCTATCTGAAGCTTTGCTGGGCTGAGCCACCTCTCATGCCCTGTTTGGGAGCATCACCTTGCATGGCCAAGTGCTGTAAAACAGAGCTGAGAATAGCAAATGGACACACACAGGGCTTTAAAAACCAAACGCAAACCTTTACAAACCCCTAACCCCAAAGAACCTCTGCTAAACAGAGGATTTCAGCCAAGAACACACAGCTCTGTCTGTATATGCACAGTATATACACAGCTACACAAGGCTTGCTGCCCTCATATTTTCAGTGAGTTTTTAAAAGAGCAAAAAACCTGATGCACACTAGGTAGCTAGAAACAGGCACAGACAAAAGCGTGGAGGTTGGAAGGCCTTGGATTTTCTTGCTGCTAATGGCTGATATGACCCTTATGCATGGGAATAAAAGTAATTGAAGAATCTCATGGGCATCAAACATGCACTGGAATTTTACTTACCCTGACTTGTATCTGATATCTACTGAACTTTCTTCCCTGTGCTGTGGTGAGTTCAGAAGGGAGGGAGTTAGTAGCAGTAAATTTTGTTTTGGTTTTTTTATCTGCATAGCTCTGCATCTGAGAGAAATATGACTAAGAAAATGATCTTTCCCAACCCCTGGAAAGAAAATGCAGCCATGTGGATCCCAACATAAAAACAAGCATTGGCATGTCTGAAATGCTGTGCCTGCTATAATTAAAACACAAGCAACTACAAAACAACTCTGCTTCTTTCTTTACAGCATGAAACCTGCTTTTAGAAATGGCCTGACAGAAAAGTCAGCAAGGAAGTTTCACCAGAAACTTGCTATCCCCTGGACGACTTAGGGTTTTCTATCAGGCAGCAAGACATTATCATATATTTGATTCCCTTTGCCCAGTTCATACTGGATCTTACAGGAGGAAAAAAAGCTTTAGACTTAATTGTGTCTGCAAGGATTCCTAGTCTAACACATTGTGTGGATACACAGGCGTGAACACACTTTCTTCAGCATATCCTCCTCCTTTTCATGGGCTTGAAGTAATTTGGCGTGCCAAGTTAAACAATGCCTTAAATGAAACAGTAGCTCCAGTTTCTTCCGTGGCTGAGATTGTTTCCAAAATCAGGTAGGGGATTTAGCTACACAACCCTAAAGTGATGGAGGATAATTGACTACATCTCCTTGAAGAACCTTTTCAACTTTGTTAATACTGAACAGCCAACACAAGCATGCTGAACACACACTTTAATGATTGCCACAGCAATAATTCACAGAGAACCAGTTTTCCTTCGAAACACTTTAGAATAACAAGGAGTTGGGGGAGGGAAGTTATCAGGGTGCTGGAAAGCACTAATACAATTTATTAGACAAATCCTGTGTGGATGCAATGGCAGGTCCGCTATCAAAGGCAAAAACCTTCAGGCATTTTACATCCCATAATCCCAATGAAAGCCTGTTTTTGCAGATACCCTGCAGTTCATGAATCACTGGCTATAGCATACAAAATCCCCTATTTAAGTAATTACAGTACAATACACAAATCTGCACAGTAGCTGATGTTATATAAAATATTCCAAGGCAGTCTCAAAACCACAACATTAGAGAAAAAATCCCAACTGGAAACAAGTGTCTTTCAGTAAGCATATTTTGTGAAGTGGGGGATGCTCTGATCTAATCATGTTAGGCCTGCCCTGCTGACAGGAAGAGGTATGGCAATACAGGGATGCAGGTGAGCTGTAGACAGAGAATGGCTTCTGCCTACAGACATTGTTTTCCATGTGTTTTCATTTGGACTTCAGCACACCCTCAATCTCCCCATTTTTACATTGTTGGCTGGTTTTGTTATCGCCACCTTGGTTTTCAAACATCAAAGAACACAGAAAGATCTCAGATCTCAATCCTGGCCTTGGCAACGCATTGCTCCAATATTGGGTTGGATTCCATTTCTTCAGCAGAATGAACCAAAAGCCTGGTATTTTAAGAAGATACCTAAATTCCATCAGGCAGTATGAATTCTCATCTCTGCAATCAGTTCTGGTTTATATCCGTGCCTGTGCAGTTCAGCTTCTATGTTCAGCAACAGGGAAGATAGGTAGGCTTTCTTTTGCGAAGAGCCCTTAGTTGCCCAACTTTGGTTTCACCTACAGATGACATATTTCACCAATCTTGTACCCTCCAGTTGGTCTGTAAGTCAGATTTGCAGTAACAAGTGGATGTCATTTTTCCAAGTCACTTCCAGATCAGACTAGCAACTTTCAGTCATACCCACATAACCAGAGCACCAATGAAAAAGGATAGAGAAGAGCAAAATTGCATTATGATGTACAGAGCATGATAAATGTTTTCAGTTCAGATTAATTAGAAAATATGTTCTACTTCTAACAAATTAAGATCTAGCAAAGGTCACAGCAGAAAAAAAAATCTGAACTGGAAAGTGAACATTAATTTACTCGTAAGAGTTTGCCAACTTCCTCTCTCAGAAATACATAGTTCTCCTTCAGTGGAATTCATGGTTTTAGAAATGTTGATCTGAATGAGATTTAGCATTTTCAGATATCTCCTCACAAGGTCCAGCTCTTCACTGCGAACTTTACCTTCTTGTTCTTGTTGCGAGGAATCTGCAGAACAATTGGAACTCGCAAAGAGAAAAATTATAATGGCTTATATATGTCAATTGACATTTTGGAGTTGGTTTATGAACTAGAAATCTTTCTCCAAAGTATTTCACTACAGCTCAATAAAACGTTACATGCTGGCGGAATTTTATCCTGTTAAAGTTGGCAAAGATTTCTTCACCAAAGAGTAAGTTTTGCTCAGGTTAAATTTACTTTCATACTCCCCCAAAAATCAGTGTAATTGCTCAGGTGCAGGATGACAGGCTCCTAAAATAGTCCAAATCAAGCGACCCACAGCAACCAAGGCATGCACAGCAACTACACACTGAAACCAGGAAGGAACAGCAATTATCATTTCATGTGAAGGTTGTCTGTGTTAGGTTTGTGTGGAGCTCCCAGAGCAGGCTGTTAAATTGGACATAAGGTTTTGTTTGAGGAAAGGCAGAACCATGATGCAGAAGGCTTTCCTGATTTAGGTGTGCCTTTTGCTACAAGCATCAATCACAAAGAATGC